ACCGGGCCGGAAACGGGACCGGGACCGGGATTGGGACAGAGAAACCCACACGGAACCGGGAATCCCATACGGGTACGGGACCGGGATTCGACCGGGGACGGGACCGGGACGTAGAAACCTCATACGGGACCGGGACTGAGACCAGGACTGGGACCGGGACCGAGACCGGGACCGGGATCGGGATTGGGACAGAGAAACCTCATACGGGACCGGGAATCCCATACGGGATCGGGATCGGGACCGGGATGGGGAGATTTGTGTGGCACCGGGATTGGGATCGGGACCGGGATGGGCACCGGGAATCCCAGCCGGGAGACCCAAACGGGATCGGGACCGGGAATGGCAAAGGAACCGGGAATTCCACACGGAAATAGGAAAGGGACCGGGAATTCCAGTCGGGACCGGGACTCTCTTGTAATGGTCCCTCCTCTTTTTCCCCCCCATTCCCCTTTTTTTCTCCCGTTTTCCCTCTTTTTTCCTCACTTCTCTCCCTTTTCCCCTATTTTTTTTCTCCGTTTCTCCCCCTTTTCCCGATTTCCCTTCCCTCCCCACATTTCCCCCTTTCCCCCCCCTTTTTTCCTCCCTTTTTCCCCCACTTCTCCCTTCATTTTCCCTTTCATTTCTCCCCCTTTTTCCCCATTTTCTCCCTCATTTTCCCTTTTCCCAGCCGCTCCATGGCCGATCCCATCCCGCTTCCCGTGGGGATCCTGCGCCTCCCGAGGGGTCCCGACATCTCCGGCAGCCGCGGCTTCTCCTCCCGTTCCCGGGATCCGCAGAATTCCCGGGATCCTCACGATTCCCGGGATCCCGGAGCGCTCCAGAGCGCCCGGGCCGCGCTCCGGGAGCGATTCCTGCGGCTGCTGAGCAGCGCCCGGGGCCGCCCGGTGCGGTTCTGCCTCTGGAACGGGATCCGGCTGGACGCCGAGTTCGGGGCTGCCGATGTGCAGACTGGAACTTTCCAGGTACATTCCCTTTTCCACTTTTTTTGGCTTTTTTCCCCTTTTTTCCTGTCTTTTTCCCCCTATTTTTGGCTTTTTTCCTGTCTTTTTCCCCCTATTTTTGGCCTTTTTTCCCCATTTTTCCCTCTGGAACGGGATCCGGCTGGACGCCGAGTTCGGGGCTGCCGATGTGCAGACTGGAACTTTCCAGGTACATTCCCTTTTTCCTGATTTTTCCTGAGTTTCCCCACTTTTTTTG